TGAAGAAAAAGAAGACAATATGCATATGCAAAGATTTTCTCGATTCAAACGACGCATCGAGATTCAAACTATGAGATTGATCAAGCACAATCATTTCCGAATCACTGAATCACTTCACTCGAAGATCATAGAGCATCAAATGAGATTGATCAAGAACAATCATTTCTGAATCACTGAATCACTCCACTAGAAGATCATAGAGCATCAAGAGAGAGACACATACGAGCAGATTCAAATTGAGCAAGATATGGTTGAAGACATCAGAATGAATTGATCCTTGGTTCAATCACCCTTAAACACTTGTTTGGGCCTTTTATCCCTTTCTTTCATAACCATGAACCATGACCTACGTTACGTGCCTTAAAAGTCTCTTCTAATCATACATGGATTTCTAAACAGAAGAGACTATCTTTAGATTTCATCCTGCCCATCAGGATTAATCTTTATTTGCAAAAAAATAGTGTAATTAATGCACGATAGAGAAAAATAACAAAAGGGGGTTTAAGACGTAAATTACAAATGACGTCTTGAAACCAAAGGAGGATTCGAGTTGAAAACCTAAAAAGGCAGTTCGAATACAAAAATTGGGCAGCTGAGGCGATCGCACGAATTCCTTGATAAGGCATCGCACAATCCAAGCTTGACCATGAAAGCTAGGAATCGGAAAACACTTCCAATAGAGGAGCATGCAAGATACCCCATCAAACCTTTAAGCATCAAATAAACAAAAATGCCAAACCTTTGACCAAACACAATAACCTGAGACATTTTTATCCTTTCCTTACTTAACCATTTCCCAAAAATAGATTTGATCTTAGCACGTGTCAAACGGCTATAATTTATTGAAGGATTAACAATGTAATTAATTCTTTGATATCCAATGAACTCTAGTTTTATGATTTGTCTCAATTGTAAAACCGTGACAGGGGCAATATTTTCAAAACTTTTGGTTAAACACTTTTCGAAACTCTTTTTTGATATTTTCAGAACTTTGAAAATAAAAAAGAAAGAAAAATATTTTTTTTCAAAACAAGACAATCTCTCTAGAGTAGATCTTGGTAAAAGACACGTGGCTCTCAAACACAAAACTCATGCTTAGAATTAATACTGAAGCAAGAAATCAGGAACAATGAGGGCAGCTTTGAAGATTCAACATCAAATGTTGGGGCATTTTTTTAGATTTAACATCAAATGTTGGGGCATTTTTTTAGATTCAACATCGAATATTGGGGCATCTTTGGGAATTCAACATCCTGATGCAAATTATCAGACCTTTTGAAGGCATTTCCTCCATATCCAGGAACAAGTACACAAAGCACGAGACTCCATTCAGGGGATAAAACAAAACTAATTCATGTTACATGCATCTTAGATATACTTAAGAGCATCGCATTTATCATTTTTTGTATACATAAGTTTTTGCAGCTTTTAGAGTCAAGTTTCAACTTCAAGATGAAGAATGCTCGATTCAAAAGCATATGGTGGTTGCTCTACCTCACAACGAAGGGGCGACTGTCTGACAACAAAACAACTTTTCAGTTTCAGTCAGAGTCAATTTCAACTTCACGGTGAAGGATATTGAACTCAAAGCGACACAATTAGCTCGAGAGTAGATTTCAACTTCACGGCGAAAGATATCTAGCTCGAAGCCAAACTTCACAGTAAAGGGGTCATCCACGGTTTCGACTTCACGGCGAAGGGAATCGTGTCCACCCGCAACATACAATACTTGGATTTCAACTTCACAACGAAGGATATCCAAATCAAGGCTCAACTTCACGACGAAAGGGCCATCTGCGATGTCAACTCCACGACGGAGGATATCGTACCCACACATCCAAAATTTCAACTCCACGATAGAGGATATCGTGTCATTTGAGGCTCAACTTCACGACAAAGGGGCTTCCCAATTTCAGAGTCAATTTCAACTTCACAGCGAAGAATATTGGACTCGAGACAACACAAGTTCAACTTTACAGCGAAGGGACGGCTGGTTGTCAACAAACAATTTCCCAATTTCAAAACCAATTTCAACTTCACAGCGAATGATATTGGACTCGAGACAACACAAGTTCAACTTCACATCGAAGGGACGGCTGGTTGTCAACAAATAATTTCCCAGTTCCAGAGCCAATTTCAACTTCACGGCGGAGGATATTGGACTCAGAACAATACAACTTACTTGGATTTTAACTTCACAACGAAGGATATCCAATTCCAAGGCTCTACTTCACAACGAAGTGGCCATCCACGGTTTCAACTTCACGACGAAGGGAATCGTGCTCACCATTGTCTCTCTTGAGACAGTTTCCAAGTTTTATCTCTCTTGAGACAGTTTCCCTTGAAACAAAATCTTTGAATATCTTTTCCTTGAAACAAATTTCGTCTCCCTTGAGACATTTTCTTTTGGAGCTAAGTTTTGTCTCTCTTGAGATAGTTTCTCTTGAAACATAAACATTGAAAACATTTCCCTTGAAATGAATTTTGTCTCTCTTGAGATAGTTTCCCTTGAGACATTTTCTCTTGCAGCATATTTTGTCTCCCTTGAGACAGTTTCTCTTGAAGCATAAACTTTGAAAACGTTTCCCTTGAAACACAAAATATTTGAATTAGTTCCCCTTGAAACAAGTTTTGAGACAGTTTCCCTTGAAACTTTAATCTTTGAATACAATTTCTCTTGAAACACAAAAAAAAAACATTTGAAATTGTTTCTCTTGAAATACAAAAAAACCTTTGAAGATGTTTCTCTTGAAACACCAAACCCTCAAGTTCGATTACATTCAGCTTTGAGGGAACATCATTTACAGCATAACTCAAGGCTAGAAGGGTTATCTGCCAACCAAAGACCTTCGAGTTCGACTACGCTCAGCTCCAAGGCACATCATTTACAGCATAGCTTAAGGAAATAATGACTATCTGTCAATAAAATTGTCGAGTTCGATTCCATTCAGCTCGATGACACCTCAATCACACTACTGTCTGACTGCAATCGAGGTTTTCAAGCTGAGAAGAAGATATGGGTTAGTCATGTCTTAGTAGCAAGAAGCCTTTTTCCGTCAGCATAACTTAAGTCGAGAAAAGCTATCTGTCAACGAAGACTTTTCGAGTTCGGTTTCATTCAGCTCGAGGGCATATCAACCACATTGTGGAGTCAAGAGATTACTTTCCAGTCGATTTTTTAGCCAAGGTCTTTAAACCGAGAAGAAGACCAAAATAGACTACAACGAGAAGCCACATTCTGATTCAAATCATTTCAAGATGGACTCGACTTCGCGACGGATGAGCCATCCGCAATTCAATTCGACAGGGAGTTATTCTTTAAATCCACTGAACGAAAATTTGTGTCTTTTTATCTTTGTCCTATTTTTCGTGGAATGAAAAAGGACAAAGAGGGGCAGCTGTAGACACCCATTTTCTTAAAAGATAGAACTAGCAAGAGTTCCTCTCCTATGAGGACTCTTCCACCACCATATCTTTTAAAGCAACAACAACACCAACAAACGTGCAACAACCGAGCAAGGAGTCTAGTCGCATTAGGATTCTATTGTTAATAAGATTCTAAAAATAGTTAGTTTTTTTCACTATAAATACATGTAATCCTCCCCATTTGTAACATACGATTTACATACAAAATACAGAGGAAAGCACGGAAAATACAAAGGCAAAGTTATTGTAAACGATTCGAAAAGAAAATAAAATGTAGCATCTTTTTTACTTTTGATTCGGTCTCTTACATTTACGTTTTAATTATTATTATTTTATTTATTTAACTTTATTTTTACGCATATTTCCCTTGTTATTTATTTTATTTAATTATTTTGTTATTTTTCTTTTCTTTTTTTCATGTAATTTTTTTTTACATTTTATGCATTTTCTTTTTTACTTATTATATATTTTTATTTTTTTAGATTATATATATATATATATATTATTTTTTTATTATCAGTTTTATTTTATATATATATATATATACTATTTTTATTTATTATATATATATATATATATTATTTTTACTTTTTTATTATTATTTTATTTATTTATTTTATTTATATATATTTTTCTTCTTTTTCTTTATTTTTTATATTTGTTTTATTTACTATTTTATCTTTGTTTTCTTTATCTTATCTTTTATTTAATTTATTTTTTCTTTATTTTAATTTAATTAATTTATTTATTTCTTACATTTTTATCTAACATGATTTTTTGACATTCTTAAGGTCACACCTTTAAAACTATCTAAGGTAAGTAATTGTGAATGTATTTTTACCTTTTAATTTTAAATTACAATTTTCTTAATTTAAGACAACCGGTAAATTAATTGGTACCGAAAGGGCGGTTCAAGTGTGCTAATCTTTCATTGACCGTAACCGACTCCCGAACCCGACAAATTTCTGGTAAAAACGCAGATCAGGTAAGATGGTATCCGACCCACCTATATTCGTTTTAAAGTGGTCGGTGGCGACTCTCAACCCAATTATTTCAAGTCGAAGCCCAATTCAGGGCCCAACCGAAAGACAGTTACTACAGTAATATAACAACATATGTGTTATTTTTTTAAAAAAAATTTAATGATGACGTGATATTATTTTATGGTGATACATCAACATCATCACTAATTTTTAAAGGTAAATGATAAAAATAAAACCAAAACGTAACATTAAGTATGATTTTGAAATAAAAAATAGTTGAATGATCAAAATGAAATAAAACTGATAATTAAAATATTAAATATATAGTTTACCCTAAAAATAAAAATGATTAAGTCTCAAATTAAGTATTTATGTATATAAAAAAATCTCTATTATAATACACAGCGAGATTGGTTTTAACTATGCACAAATCAAGTTTGATTTGGGGTGCTCTAAAATCATAGCTCCGGTCCAATTCTAACAAAAATCCGTCTAACAAATCACTTATATTAACCAGCAGCCAAAGATTCAATTTTCTCCTAAAATTTTCAAAACCCTGAATTTTTTTTCTGTTTCTTTTCTCTTCTCGGTCGAAATTTGCATTTTTAAGAAAATCATTTAAATCTGATCTAAAAGTCAGAGTGAAATTTACTTGCTATTTTGCTGCATGAAATGAGGGTGAAGCCATTGTTTATAATCGTCTCCACACTTTCCTTATTCTTGGCCGTCGTTTGCTCTCTCCTTCGCGGCCGGTTGTTCCTTCAAATTCTTCCAACAGGTTCCTAATCCATTCTCTCTCTACAGATCTCATTTTCACTATTTATGATTAATTTATTGTAAAACTTTGTTGATTCGGGGAAATTGCAGTGCCAAATCGGAGATATGGAATATCAAGAGAATTGTGGAATGGAGACCTTGCAATTGGTGGCTTCAGTCCCACTTGACTCGTTAGTATTTTATCTATTTGTTTATTGTTTGGCTTTTATTATTCTTGCATTATTAGCTTTATTGCCCGATTTGATACAGTTAGCTTCCAGGGAGGAAGAAGTGCAGTAAATTTTAGTATCTGGGATCTGGGTTTTTTAAGTTTTTTTTTTAGTTCTTCGATTTATTTGATGTAGATATGGTATGATTATATGAAAAAGGGGTTTAGTTTGGGAAGTGTTGAAGTTTTAAAAGAGTGAGAAGTGGGATTTGGATTAGGTTAAACTTCTGTTTAAATCTCATTATCATGAGTCCATTTTTTCTTAATTGGCAATAATTGCAGACATTTTCATTTTCCCCCCTTTTTGTTTTTATTGAAATCGTGCAGCTTTACCATCCAAGAGTAATGGGTATATCCGTGTTGATTGCTATGGTGGCCTCAATCAGATGAGAAGAGATGTGAGTGCAAAGCTGTTGTAGTTCTTGTATGCTATTTTATAAAATAAAATTAATTTGGTCTAAGCATCAGATATTTTTCTTGGTGAGGGCAGTTCTGCGATGGTGTTGGTATTGCACGTTTACTGAATGCTACTTTGGTTCTGCCGAAGTTTGAAGTGGCTGCATATTGGAATGAGTCAAGGTAATCTATGCCTCTTCGAGTTCTAATGGGTATTTTCTACTTGTGATAAATCGTATGTTCTTTTTGGAGTTGCCGATGTTGATCATACATCATAAAAAGGAAACGAATTTTGACAGAACCTGAGATTCTGAATTTCTAAGCAGTTTAAAAAATGTCAAGGCAGTAGAGACATAGGTAATATTATTCTTTATAGTGCTTGTATTGAATACCCAGTAATACAATTCTACTTTCTAAAATTATAATAATTGTGGATCTTCTTATTGAAGTTGAGATTACACTGAAAAAAATAAATGAGTGCAAAATGAAAACCAACACAACATTTGAGTAACTGTTATGGTAACCATGGGGGTTACTGTTACTGGCCATGACTTCCTATCCTATGAGTGCTAAAGTTGGTCCTATCCCGCGTTGCTATCATCCATGGTTTTCCTTTCTCAAATTTATGTTTTTAAGGTTTATAAATGCTAGAACCATTCTCCTTCGGGAGTATGCAGATAGTTGCCAAGAGATGATGTACTTTTTAGTATCTCACATGTTGCTTGACTTTGAATTCCTGAAGTTCTGAACTATTAAACTGGAGAAGAATCCAGTTTGAGCTTTGTTGTTTCGTCTCAAAGACCCCTACACTTCCCTACCTATGTTAGTTTGAACATTAGGATACATCCATCTGCTTTCTTTTTCCTGTGTAAATATTTGGATTATGAACAATTGTCACCAGAAATTTATTAGTAATGATTTCACAGTTATTCCAATCATGCTTAGTGAATGTTAACAGGTTCTTTTGTTTATTATTACACACAATTTAATTATTATCTGATGAATGTAACTAAAATGTTTCCTATGGTACAATGCCTAACGGTATCCTAGTATGTTTATGTGCCATATATACATAGATAAAATCTTTACAATTCATTCCTTTCATCTCCAGCGGCTTTGCAGATGTATTCGATGTTGATTACTTCATAAAGAAGATGAATGGTTTTGTCAAAGTTGTTAAGGAATTGCCACCTGAGATATCATTAAAAGAACCCTATCGAGTAGATTGTAGTAAACGGAAAGGTCAATTTGATTACATTGAAAGTGTTCTTCCGTCCCTGCTGAAATATCATTACATCTCAATCACACCAGCAATGAGCCAAAGAAGGGACCGGTATTACTTTTCTGTTTCTGAATTTCTCACACAATAGAACTATGACGTTGATGAAGAGTATATTTACGTTCCTGTTATGACATTTTGTAGGTACCCAAAGTATGCAAAAGCTGCGCTTTGTCAAGCCTGTTACAGTGCATTAAGGCTGACTGAATCGTTGGAGAAGAAAGCCAACGAGCTTCTGGAAGCCATACCGAAACCTTTCCTTTCCCTCCACCTTCGATTTGAACCAGACATGGTATCTTATAGCCAATGTCAGTACTCAGGCCTTTCATCTACCTCGATGAAAGCCATTCAAGCTGCACGCGGAGATGATAGAAAGCCATGGACCGGAGAAGCAGCTCAGATTTGGAGGAATAGGGGAAAATGTCCGCTCACACCGAATGAGACTGCCTTTATACTTCAAGCATTATCGATACCCACAAGCACAAACATCTATCTTGCAGCTGGAGATGGACTAATGGAGATTGAAGGCTTAACATCTATTTATACCAATGTAGTTGCCAAATCTGCTATTCTTAGCAGTGAGGATTTCGGAACCATGCATGGGAACACAAAAGCTGCCTTAGATTATCATCTGTCAATAAACAGCGATTCTTACATGGCTACATACTTTGGAAACATGGATAAGATGGTGGCGGCGATGCGAGCTTTCAAAGGACTGTACAAAACACTTTTCTTAAGTAGAAGAGCTTTTGCCAATTTGACTTCTCAAGGGTTGGAAGGGAAGCCATTGATGGAAGCGTTATGGAAGGTTCACAAAGATGATTTCATCATGGGACGAGGGTCTGCTTTATCTGACTGCTTTTGTGAGTTCAAATTATAGTTTCATTTTTTTCTCTTAGATTTTTTTGACAATTCATTGTTATTATTGTATCTTTAGGTATTCTTTTTGTATGAAATCTTATGGGATAGCTTTTAAGAAGAGCAGATACTCTAATACATCTACTTTTAACTTTGATTTTGTGCAATGATACACATGAAATTTTAATGTTGATTTAACTTTGATAGTTAAAAGTTTTCTCTCCTAGTTTTCTCGCACTAGTAAATAGTTCATCCTTTTTTCTTTTTTTTCTTTGTCTTTTGGCATGTTTTTCAGTCGTTTGATCGTTGTTTTCACTTATCTTTTTCTAAGAGTTGATTTAACATTGACATAATTGATCAAGATGACGTTTATATATTATTATGTTGATTTTCTCTTATCTGGACTATCAAATTGGATTTGGATACCCATATGCATTCGTGGATAGCTTTTCACATCGTTCGAGTATGATTTGAAGTTTGTCGGTGGTCTTTTTGTAGTTTGATCTTCTTTTCTAATTCGTTTGTCGTTGCGATCAGATCTGTTTGTATCTATCTTTGTTCGAGTTTTTTTTTGTTAAATTTTAATCTTTCCTTGTAATGTCCTTATGTGATATTAATTTGTTAGTTTTGGTTTAATGATTATAGAAAATTGTTCTAATTATATGTTTAATTTATTATTATAATTGTAAATCTTTATTATAATTTAAATATTTTATATTTTGAATAAAATTAATGATTTTATTTTATAAAAATGGATGATTTAATTACATACATTTTATAAAATAAATACATTCACTTATTTTTATATTTAATAAATATTTGTGTATAGTATAGAAATGTAAAATGATGTTACTATGACTTCATTTTTTTAAAAATAAATTAAAATAAAATCTAGTTTTCCTTTAAAAAAAAAGTAAAGCAAAATATCATGTGCATAATTGTACAAAATGAAAGCATAATTCCACAAAATCAAATAATTGTACAAAATCGAATTATATGTATTACATTTGATGAATGTTTATATATAATTTTGATATTTATTTTTAAAATTTTCATTATTTTTTGAAATGTTTGTTTTGGATTCTTATGTTGGTTGATTAAAACACTACATTTAATAGGTAATAAGAATCGAATTTATTAAGGGACCTTGATGATAAAAGAGAATAATACTACACAATGTGCACATGTTGTCAATAACAAATAAAGATACTAAATAGATATTACCGGCTAAATTGCTCCCATGGTGTTATGAAAAAAATTATTCGCTGAAATAGGGTCTCACATAAATTATTTTATGATTCAATGTGAATGCTACAATACCCGTCGGAAGTCACCGGGAACACAATGCGTCTTCGAAAAGTCGTCGAGAAGACTGTGCGTCGTCAGCTTTGTTTAAGCTTCCCCAATGCGTCTTCAGCTTTGTTCAAGCTTCCCCAATGCGTCTTCAACTTTGTTGAATGACATAAAAACGGGGAAGACACATTGTGTTCCTGGTGTCTTCTCCAGAAGACGTATTGTGTTCCCAACAACTCTCCGGTTACTATAGCATTCACACCATCTCGAAAAATAATTTCAATAATACCCTAATTCAACCAATATTATTTTCAAGAACCCTACGACAGTAAATCAGCAAGTTATTACATTATAATATCACACAATTAAAAAATACACAATAGAAACTAATGGATAAAAAACCAGTTTATCTACATTACTCTTCAACATTATTTTTAATGATTTATAATATTATTTATTAATTTATTAATAGTGTGTCTTAAAAATAAAATCCCATAAAAACATACTTGAAAATAATTTATTTTCAAAATGAAGAATTAAAATTACATATATATTCGAAAGTAGTATAAGAGTATGTGTTTCAAATTTAATTAAGGCTTAAATATACAAAAGGTGTCCAACGTATGCATGGTTTTTTAGTTTAGTGCCTAACATTTTTTTTGTTATAGTTTGGTGTCTAACGTTTCATTCCGTAACTCAAAATGGGTCACGTCGTGACGGACCGTTAATTTTGGCAGTTAACCCATTAAAAATGCCACAAGACATATTTTTTAATATTAAAAAATAATTTTGCAAATAAAAAAATAAACGTTTTAATAGGGTGAAACCAATTACCCAGGCTCCCCCTATTTCTGTGTGTATCCCCTAAAGGGCGAAGCTCTTCGTCCTCCGATCAAGCATCTCCAACCGTCGTGCAGGTGTCCCGTCGCTGCTAATGGCCTCAACAACGACAGGCGACCCTTGCATATTCCTCTCTTAATTTTAATATGTAGCAATCCACACCAGCATCCAAAACATATTAAAAAATCAAAAAGAAAGAAAAAGAAAAAGAAAAAAAAGAGAGAAATCAAGTAAAAATGTCACATTTTTTAGGGTTTTTGAAAGGAGATGAAAGTGTTTTAGCTTTGAAACAAAATTACTGCTCCCCTCTCATTTGCATTTTAAATTCCTTGCACAACTGCAAGTATTTTTTGTGACTAGAATTGTTAGCATATATGCTAAAGAAATCGAAGATGATGGGTCGATGGATTATTCAATATGCATGTTGAATCATAGTGCAAAAAAAATGGAGGAAAAAGGAGAGTGAACAATATTCCGCCTAATCTTATCTTCTTCTTCTTCTTCTTCTTCTCCTCTTGAATAGTTGTTAAGTATGTTTTGTTGTCAAGCCAATTTTCCTCTTGCAAAGTTGAATCCTTCAGTGACTTATAACTCATATGGTCCTCGTCCAAGAGGAAACATAATCTTTACAGACGATATAAGCCTTGAGAAAACTATCAATGAAATCTTCAAGAAATCCCCTAAGAATGCTATCAATTAGAACAAAAGCATATAAAGCAACATAAATTTCAACAAAATGAAGCGAACCAATTCCAAAACTGATAAAATGAAGTGAAACCATTTCAAAAAAAAGAAAGCTCTCCTTGTGATTAAGACGCGACGACGGCCAAATCAGGCGATTGGAGTGTCGGGGTTGGGCCGCCAGTCGTTGTTGAGGTCGTTAGCGGCGACGGGGCACCTCCATGGAGGTATGAGATGCCTTATCGGAGGGCGAAGAGCTTCTCCCTTTTGGGGATACACATACTGGAAATCAGAGGGAGCGGTTTTCCCCCATTAAAGCATTTTTTCATTTTAATTTATTTTTTATTTGAAAAATTATTTTTAAATATTAAAAATATGTCACGTGGCATTTTTAATGGGTTATGGTCCATCACATCGTGATCCATTTTGAGTTACGGAATGAAACGTTAGGCACCAAACTGAAACGAAAAAAACGTTAGACACTGAATTGGAAAAACGGGCATACGTTAGGCACCTTTTGTATATTTAAGCCTTTAATTAAAAATAGATTTAAAATCAAAAGTTCAAGTCTCAAATTTAATTCAAATGTGATTAAAATAACTTAAGAATAGAATTTTACTGTTATTAATTTTAAAAAAATGTTAACAATAACTTTATTATTATTGTTTAATTTTAAAAGAAGTCTAGAGTCTTAGGATAAATCTATGGAGTTTAAGGTTTTTATTTTATTTAATGACGGTGCCTCTCCCTGTAGAGATAGTACCGTTGATGGGTTAGGTGACCATCATACTACGGCCAATGATTGCCCTACAAGTAGGATTGGGATTGAGGAAGTCAAAATAGCTCTTAGAAAGATGGGGAGGGACAAAACTGTCGGTCCAGATCAAATTCCTATCACTGTGTGGTTGGCCCTAGGAGAAGAGGGAGTTAAGTGGTTGACCAACATCTTTAATATTATTTTAGAGACTGCCAAGATGCCAGAGGAGTGGAGACAGTCTACGGTGATACCAATCTATAAGAATAAAGGAGATCCCCAATGTTGTGGTAACTACAGAGGTATTAAACTACGCATTCATACCATGAAGCTATGGGAAAGGGTGATAGAGGCTAGGTTGAGACAGTTACTAGGGTTTCAGAAAACTAATTTGGCTTTATGCCAGGCAGGTCTACTACTGAGGTGATTCATCTACTCCGACGGCTTATGGAGAAATATAGGGGAACAAATAGAGATCTCCACATGGAGTTCATTGACATTGAGAAGACGTATGATAGCGTTCCCCGCGATACAATCTGGAAGACCTTGGAAACGAGACGGATCCCAACTGCTTATATCCGGGCGATTCGTGATATGTACTGTAAATCTACTACATACATTAGGACTACAGTTGGCGACACCGAGGCATTCCCGGTGGAAATCGGACTCCACCAGGGGTCATCTCTTAGCCCTTACATCTTTGCCTTGATTATGGACGACATTTATTGTGCGAAACCAGACGGTGTTCCATGGTGTATGCTTTTCGCGGACGACATTGTCCTAGTTGCTGAAACAAAAACTGAGCTGAATAGTAGACTGGCTACCTAGAAGACTGCTTTGGAAGAAAAAGGTCTACGAATCAATATTGAAAAGACAGAGTATTTATGTTAAAACTTCAGTAGGAACCAAAACTATGAAGATGTAGAAGTATGCATAGAATGACATGTTTTCCCCTCAAAAGATTGTTTCAAGTACCTAGGGTCTATGATACATAAAGATGGGGTGTAGATGATGACGTTACACACCGTATAAAGGCGGGATGGCTAAAGTAGAGGGCTGCTACTGGAGTTTTGTGTGACAAGAAGGTGCCTCTAAAACTTAAGGGAAAATTTTATAGAATGGCAATAAGACCAGCGATGCTATATGGATCAGAATGTTGGGCAATCAAGAATGATCATGTAAGGAGGATGGAGGCCGCATAAATGAGAATGCTTCGATGGGTATGTGGTAGGACTCTGTGGGATATGACACCAAACTCTGCAATTAGGATGTCCTTGGGGTGGTGCCTGTATCCGAAAAATTGAGGGAGGCAATACTACGGTGGTTTGGGCATGTCCTTAGGCGACAACCGCCGGATACGATTAGGAGGGTAGAGTCGATTACAGTCGATGGTGCCAGAAGGAGAGGACGACCAAGGAGGAAGTGGGTAGACTGCTTGAGATCTAATTTGAAGGATTTAGTCCTTACCGAGGACATGACCTCTGATAGGAAAGTATGGAGACTTAAGACCAGGGTAGTCGAATAGTGTGGGTCACAGCCATAGGGTGTAGCATCTCTGTTTTCTTTTTAATGCCTTCGTAGTAATTTCCATGACTTCTACTTTTTATACGTTTATGTCATTGAAATTTAT